GGCCAATGTACACAAATTAAAATGTGTCTTGGGCAGAATGGTTAGGTTGTAATTTGGGCCTTTTAAACATACTTGGATTTCTTTTCTTCCTCCTATTTCATTAGGCTTCTAATAAGCAACAATAATATTAATATATTAAAAAATAAGCAAGTAACTAACTTATTTATTAGTCTAATCATAATTACTAATGTTTAAATAAAATACTAATCGTAAGATACGGCAATATTTATTAAATATAATTTCGTAATATTTAAAAGTTATTGCAAAAAATATTCTCGCTTAGTGAGGTAAAAGAAATAAAAATACTTTTGATGAAAGGTAACAATAAATACGATTAAGGTATGAATGATAAAGATGATACCAATAGCATTATTATTATTATTATTATTATTATTATTATTATTATTATTATTATTATTATTATTATTATTATTATTATTATTATTATTATTATTAATAGTAGTAGTAACATTAATAATACTAGTAATAGTTATATTAACTAAATAATAATATAAATAACTAGGCCTAGTTTGTGCTAAAAATGGTAAAATAACTATTCTTACATTATTAGTGATATTAAAAGCTTAAAGAAATAGTTTGGAAGAAAAGAGGGACAAATTGGATGTCAACAAAAACCAGGTTCTAACGTTCCTACTCTATTACTTTATATTGCATATTTGTTCTTTGATACTGGTATAATTGCACCCCTTTTTTCTTTAAAGAATCTAAACAATCTGTTTCTGGGTGTTAATCTTTTTAGTTATTCTTTTCAAAGTTTGTTCTTCTTAGTAGTAGCCACTTTTAAATCTGTTTCTTGTTACAATTAAAGTGATATCTTGTTTGATTTGGCTGTATAGAGGAATTCTTTTGTTCAGTTTAGCTTAAGAATGGGTCTTTTGGATTTTAAAAAAATTGCAAAGTTTGGTTCTTTTTAGCATTCACCACTTTTAAATCTGCTTCTTGTTACTAAGTACTGGAATTTAAAATTTTAGGTCTGGCTGGTATTAGTCACTTTTGGGTCTGCTTCTTGTTACAATTTAATTGACATCTTGTTTGATTTGGTTGTACGTTGGAATTTTTCTGTTCAACTTTGTAAAAATTGGTAGGGTTTTGTCTATCCATTTTAATTCTGTTAGTCACTCCTTTGAGTTGTTTTTACCTAATATCTTTTGCTTATAGTGGCGGTAGTGAATGATGTAAGAGTAAGGTCATGTCCTCGGGCGGGGCTGGGGGTGGGGTCCAGGGGCGAGAAGGGGGGTAAGAATGCCTCTAGGTTGCGAATTGGGTCTTGGAACATTGGGACGTTGACGGGGAAGTATATAGAGTTAGGTAAGATTCTTCAGAAGAGGAAGATCAACATAGCGTGTGTTCGGGAGACTAGATGGAAGGGTACTAGGTCACGAGATATAGACGGGTTTAAACTATGGTACTCAGGGAGCGCTGGGGATAAGAATGGGGTAGGTATTTTAGTAGACAGGGATCTCAGGGAGCTCGTGGTTGAGGTTAGGAGGGTAAATGACAGGTTGATGAGTATTAAGCTGGTAGTTGGTGGTTTTACTTTAAATATGATTAGTGCATATGCTCCTCAGGTAGGTTTGAACCAGGAGGTCAAGAAGCAATTTTGGGATGATTTGGACGAGATGGTGCGTAGTATCCCGCACACAGAGAAGTTGTTCATTGGCGGAGATTTCAATGGTCATGTTGGGGCTAGTGTTGGGGTTTATGATGATGTGCATGGCGGGTACGGTTTTGGGGATAGGAATGAGGGAGGTAATTCACTGTTGGAGTTTGCTAGAGCTTTTGATTTGGTTATAGCTAACTCGAGTTTCCCTAAGAGGGAAGAGCACCTGGTCACTTTTCAAAATTTAATGGGCAAGACTCAGATTGATTATCTTCTCTGTAGGAAATGCGATAAAGGTTTGTGCACTGACTGAAAGGTCATCCCAAGTGAGCACCTCACGACCCTACATAGGCTCCTAGTTATGGACCTGGAGATCAAGAGGAGTAGGAGGAAGAGGGCGGGGTGCAGGCAACCTAAGATCAAGTGGGGTAACTTGACCAAGGACAAAGCTCAGGAGTTAGGGGAGAAGTTGTTGGCTATGAGGGCCTGGACGAGTATGGGGGACGCGTCTAGTATGTGGTCCATGACTGCAGATTGCATTAGGGTAGCTGCTGGAGAGGTCTTAGGGGTAACGAAGGGTTCTCCTGGGGGACTTAAAGGGGACTGGTGGTGGAATGGAGAGGTTCAAGGTAAAGTGAAAGCTAAGAAAGCTGCTTATTTGAAGCTAGTAGAGAGTACAAACGAGGAGGAAAAAAGGACTTATCGGGAGTGTTACATAAAGACGAAGAAAGAGGCAAAGTTAGCAGTTATGACGGCTAAGAGCTCGAGGGCAAAGGCGGGGACAAGAGGTTGTACCGGTTGGCCAAAGTGAGGGAGAGGAAAGCCCGTGACTTAGACCAAGTCAAATGCATCAAGGACGAGGATGGCAAAGTGTTGATGGACGAGGCACTCATTAGGAGAAGGTGGCAGACATACTTCTATAGACTGTTGAATGAGGAGGGGGATAGTCACATTGTGCTGGGTGAGTTGGAGAACTCCGAGAGTCGGCGGGATTTTGGCTACTGTAGGCGGAATACGGTAGAGGAGGTGGAAGGGGTGATGCGTAAGATGTGCAGGGGCAGAGCAACGGGGCCAGACGAAATCCCGGTGGAATTCTGGAAGAGCGCGGGGCGGGCACGTTTGGACTGGCTCAATGGTTTGTTTAATGTTGTTTTTAAGACAAAGGAGATGCCCGAAGAATGGAGGTGGAGTACGATGGTTCCGCTTTACAAGAACAAGGGTGATATCCAAAATTGCAACAATTATAGGGGTATCAAGTTATTGAGTCACACTATGAAGGTTTGGGAGAGGGTGGTGGAGGCCAGGGTGAGGAGGTGCTTGTCTATTTCCGAGAATCAATTTGGATTCATGCCGGGGCGTTCGACTACGGAAGTGATTCATCTGGTAAGGAGATTAGTGGAGCAGTATAGGGAGAGGAAGAAGGATTTGCATATGGTATTTATTGACCTTGAGAAGGCGTACGATAAAGTTCTGAGAGAGGTCCTGTGGTGGTGTTTGGAGGTTAGCGCCGTCCCGGTAGCGTACATTAGGGTGATTAAGGATATGTACGATGATGCTAAGACTCGGGTGAGGACTGTGGGTGGTGACTCGGAGCATTTCCCTGTGGTGATGGGGTTGCACCAGGGATCGACTCTTAGCTCATTTTAGTTTGCCTTGGCGATGGATGTACTGTCGCGTCACATCCAAGGGGAGGTGCCTTGGTGCATGCTATTTGCCGATGATATAGTGTTGATTGACGAGCCGCGTAGCGGAGTTAACGTGAGGTTGGAGGTTTGGAGACAGACCTTGGAGTCTAAAGGTTTCAAACTAAGTAGAACCAAGACAGAATACTTGGAGTGCAGATTCAGTGAGACCCATAATGCAGACGTAGAGGTTAAGCTTGATGGTCAAGTTATCCCCAAGAGGGCGAGTTTTAAGTATCTCGGGTCTATTATCTAGGGTAACGGGGAGATTGACGAAGATGTCACACATCGCATCGGAGCGGGATGGATGAAGTGGAAGCTCGCTTCTGGTGTCCTATGTGATAGGAATGTGCCGTTAAGACTTAAGGGTAAGTTTTATCGAGTGGTGGTTCGACCCGCTATGCTGTATGAGGCTGAGTGTTGGCCTGTCAAGAACTCCCACGTGCAGAAGATGAGAGTAGCAGAGATGAGGATGTTGAGATGGATGTGTGGGTGTACCAAGCGAGATAGGATTAAGAATGAAGCTATCCGGGACAGAGTGGGAGTAGCCTCCGTGGAGGACAAGATGCGGGAGTCGCGGCTGAGATGGTTCGGACATGTTAGGAGAAGAAGCATTGATGCCCCTGTCAGGAGGTGTGAGAGGTTGGCAATGGAGAGTTTGAGAAGGGGCCGAGGTAGGCCTAAGAAGTACTGGGGTGAAGTGATTAGGAAGGACATGGCGCTGCTTCAGCTCACTGAGGACATGACCCTTGATAGGAGGGTGTGGAGGTCGAGGATTAAGGTAGAAGGTTAGTAGGTAGTTTATAGTGTTTACCGATAGGCTTAGTAGCGTGCATGTCCCTTCATATTTTTAGATTTTTATTACGATATGTGATTTTGTTCGCCTCAGGTATTGTATTCCCTGTTGCTATTATTTGATACTACTTATCATCTATCTCTCCCTTTTTCTCTTCCATCTTTCTTCCTTCCTTGCTTCCCTCTTCCTCTTCTTGCCCTTCCTGAGCCGAGGGTCTATTGGAAACAGCCTCTCTACATGCATTAGGTAGGGATAAGATCTGCGTACAGACTACCCTCCCCAGACCCCACATGTTGGGATCAAACTGATTTTTGTTGTTGTTGTTGTTGTTGTTGTCGTCGTATTTTTGTAGTTTGTCTTGGTTATATATGTTCTCGCTACCAATACAATTAATATAGGCTATATTCGTTGCACGTCTATAACTAGAAATGATAATTAGACAAACTATAATTACATTTCGTAATTACACTCTTTAACTGTAATGTTTTAGGAAAATTTCTCTATATCGAATGTTTATCTATTTTGTGTATGTGAATGAATCTTTGTCCTGCGAATATTGGGTCTTTATTTCTCAGAACTGTAGTATTTGTAAAGAATGTCCATAAATGACTTCGATTTTCGACCGTTGAAGACTTTAAGGCCTTGCTAAAATTACCGGCAATATCAGGTGATTTTTAATTAAACTACCTCTTAATTGCTAGGCGAAATTACATTATCTTATGAGGCGCGCCACAGGCCCATAGTTGATTAGCAGTTCCGCCAATCAAACATTGCCACGATTACAAACAAAACCTCGGCCTAATAATTGGTTGGCTCCAGCTGTGTACTTAACAGCTGTGTGCACCTCACCACCAGCACCGTCCCGCTCATCATTTATCACCGGCATTTCCCGGTTTCCCTTAATTCCTGCAATTTTTCCGTTATAATTTATATAAGATTCCCAAAATCTGATATTCTTCTCTCCTTATATATAGAATCACAACAAAAACACAGAGAAAAATCGAGGAAGAAATTGAGAATGCTTTAGGGTTTCTGTAAGGATCCACATTTCTCTGCAAACCACAAAGCCCTAATTTGAAGGGGCTGCGGTTTGTAGAGATCATCATTTCTGTGGTATTTTCTTCTCCTTTCTCTGTTTAAATTTCAATTCTATCTTAATTCGTCGCAATTGTTGTTACTTTTCCGACATGGCGGGTCAAAACAACCCGGAATTCTCCCAAAAAGAACCCGACGTGAACGAAGAATTACAGGAGCTTGAATTTACCAAGCGGGGCTGTTGTTTCTGGCTACCGTCTTTAAGGTGTGGACGCAGCGTATGGGAACGGATCTCAACGAGCGATCAAAAGGAAGAACCCCGTTGGTGGGATAAGGGTGTAAACGCCGTTAAGAAAGTTAGAGAGTGGTCGGAACTCGTCGCGGGTCCGAAATGGAAGACGTTTATTCGCCGGTTTAATAAGAACCGGTCCAAAACGAATAAATTCAATTACGACCCGTTAAGTTACTCCTTGAATTTCGATGACGGTCCAGGGGTAAATGATCAGTCGGAAGATGATCGTTTGTTTCGTGATTTCTCATCGAGATTTGCGTCGATTCCGGTTTCTGCTAAGTCTTCAATGGATTTAGGCAAGGACCCACCATCCTTCTTGTGAATTCCTATCCCGTCAGAAAATTGAGGCGAATTATGAAAGAGAGTGGCCATGATGTGGAATCTGATGAGCGGCGGCGGCGGTTGGCCGTGAATTGAGGCGGAGAAAATGATTGGACTCTGTTGTTGGACGCTTGTGACGGTGATGAAACAGGTGGTTTTGATTCTCTGACATAAAAACTTGGTCGGTTGATTGATTTGTTGTGATCAAATAGGTGTCTTTATTTTTCTAGTTATATTTGTTTTATTCGGTTGATGTTAGTTACTGCAGTATTATTAAATTGGATACTTTAATTGGAAAATATTACCAGCTTTGTTTGTATACAGGTTCATAGGATACAATTTATAAAGGTGTTTCAGATTTCCTTTTTCTCACTTTTGTCTTTTTAATTTCCATCGACTGCCACATGATTTTTGTATAGTGTCGTGCGATTATTTTGCATGAGATCTCATCAAACTTGTATACGGGATATTTCTCTGATACGGTTAGAGTAAGCCAGAGAAGGTCAACGTAATTCCTATAAAAGGATTACGTACCATACTTGCTATTATAGAGCAAGAGTTGTACTGGCCCAGAGAATGTTTACTAAGAGAAGAGTTATAAGTAGTATTTAAGAATGTTGCTGAGAATCTAAGAGCATAATCATGTTGATTTCTGCTAAAGATAGTAAGTTTTGCTGTTACTTTATTTACAAACTAAGTTACCGAAGTATGTACATTTGTTGGCATGTTGCTTTTAAGGAAGTAACCCAATGATCAAGTGGTTACATTGAAACTGTAATATCACATGTTTAAATTGTGGTTACTGTTATTAATATTAGTCTTGTCCGAGCCTTGTCAACTATATTCATAAAGAAGTGATTTGTATACATAAATAGGTGGTAGGATTAATTCATTCACTAATTGAAATCATCTTTGCTAATATCTATTTTGTCTTTCAGTTGGTCTATTGCTCAAATTTTTCTTAGTTTGATTCCCTAGCTAGTTGACAATAATTTATTTCAAATGACTGGAGCTCTGCTTGTCTAGGTTGTGGTTTGACTTTCTGAGTATTTTTGCAATTTCATTGAAACTGAAACCTCATAAAATAAGTAGTTACCTCGACTCATTTATCGATATATTCTAGGAATTTTCACCCACATAGGAAACCTTATTACCCTCAATGTTTAAGGTTTGACTTAATTACACTGTATACCAAATTATCAAATCTATACCATAGTGTATTTTAAGGATACAATTAATGCTGCCAAACAAAATCAGTTAGAGCTTTTGGTGTTTTGCAAATTCTCGTGTTGTGCCTCACGTTTCCAGTTCCTTGAGGATCCATAACGTGGCTGCTGACTAGGATAGCTGATTGGGCATCGGAAGTGTTCATAACAACTTCTCACAACTACTGGCAAGAATTAGTCAAAGGTTAGGCTAAGTAATAGCTACATCCTAAAACATTGGCAATGAATAGCTAAATCCTACCAAACAAACTAAAGATTAGGAGAATATGAGTATTCAACCCCTAATTTAATTCTCCAATTTTATGCTTGTCCCTTTCTAAAATTCAGATTCGCCCAAAAAAATCGCACACATTTAATAAAATCTTCAATCCTATAAGTTCAGACAATTCATGGCAATAACATATATATCACCATGTATATCAATGTATATCACTAATTAATCTAACCTGCTAGTGCGTGGGAATGAGGTTCGATTGTAGCTTGTAGCTTAATTGGTATTTTCGACATAATTGCGTTTTTTGCAGAAGATTTGTAGAAGTTTTAGTCATTTTTGATTTGTGAAAACAGAAAACAAAGCATCTACAATCAGAATACAAATAATCTGTAATTTATCTACAAAATATCTACAAACTGGGTACATTGAATTTTAATATCTCAATTCCTCTGTAGCTTAATTGGTATTTCGACATAATTGCATTTTTTGCAGAAGATTTTGTAGAAGTTTTAGTCGTTTTGGATTTGTGAAAACAGAAAACAATGCATCTACAATCAGAATACAAATATTCTACAATTCATCTACAAAATATCTACAAACTAGGTATATTGAATTTTAATATCCCAATTCCCATTCGATTGTAGTTTAATTGGGATTTTCGACATAATTGCCTTTTTTGCAGAAGATTTGTAGAAGTTTTAGTCGTTTTTGATTTGTGAAAATAGAAAACAAAGCATCTACAATTAGAATACAAATAATCTACAATTTATCTACAAAATATCTACAAACTGGGTACATTGAATTTTTATATCCCAATTTCCATTCAATTGTAGCATAATTGGGATTTTTGACATAATTGCGTTTTTTTAGAAGATTTGTAGAAGTTTTAGCCATTTTTTATTTGTGAAAACCGAAAACAAAGCATCTACAATCAGAATACAAATAATCTACAATTTCTGCAATATGTCTTCTTCTTCTTCTTCTTCTTCTTCTTCTTCTTCTTCTTCTTCTTCGAGTTTCAATCTGAAATTCAGTCAAAACCAAGTCTAATCTTCACCAAAACCCCTCAAAAAGATATAAACTCCAAACCATATTCCCGATTATTTTCAACAACACCCAATCCAAATAAATAATGATTTTTGAAAACCCAAATTTAAATTCAAAGCTTTCAAGCTTTTTAATGGCTGTCAATGGTGGAATTGCTGCTCTCTTTTCATTTGCTTTGTATTACTGAAATTTGCGATTGAGAAATAGAGAGAGATGTAGAGAGAATGTCGACGAACAAAGCTTTTGCAGAACTGATTTCTACAATTTGAAATTGAGCTTCTAATTTCGACGAACTGAGCTTTTGATTTGTGTCTTAAGCGAAAATGTCGAAGAACAGATCTGAGCTTTTGAACAGATTTGATTTCGACGAATTGAGCTTTTGAACAGATTTGATTTGTGGCTAAATCAATTAAAAGATTCTGTTCCTGAATTTTAGCACGCCTAATTAGGAAGATTCAGCTACTAATAATTAGTATTTAATGAATGGTATAATAATTGTAGGAAAAATATGGACAGGGCGGGTAAATTATAAACTGTGCACATTTTTTGTAATAAAGTTTCATATATGGTATAGGAAGGAAAAAATCTCTATATTCTATAGCTATATTTCGTAGGCAACATACTTGGAAAAAAGAGGTAAAAAAGACTTCTCAAGTTTTGTGGAAGAATATAGGACACATTTTTTTGATAACAAAAAACGTGTAACTAAAGGAGTTCGGGGGTCAAATTAAGAATAACAAAAGTTGTGGGTACTCATTCAAATTGTTTCAAATTTTCATTTCCCTCTTCTTCTTCTTTCTTCTTTCTTCTTTCTCTTTCTCTCATTCTTCTTCCTTTGCTTTCTTCTTTCTCTTCAATTTTGTTGCTGCTGCAGGTAATTCAGGTATGTCATCTTTTTGTTCTTCTTCATTTTCTTCTTGGTCTTTTTCTTCTTTCCCTCTTCATCTCATAATTTCATCTTCTTCTTCTTTTTTGATTTTATCTTTGGTTTATAATATATAAAAGAAAGAGAAAAATATGAAATTTTACAAAGTGAGTATTTTGCAAAATACCCTCGAGAAATTTTAAGACATCCCCATAAATGAGTATTCTGTTGAAACATCTCCGGGGATGTTCGAAACATCTTCCCGTGTCCCTTCTATCCCATTCTTAACACTTTTGTCTTAAAAATTTATATAAGTTTTGAAGTATCTTAAAAATTTAAATCCTCCCATACTTGGAAAAAAGAGGTAAAAAAGACTTCTCAAGTCTTGTGGATACTAGACTAACAATGTCTCTTTAGGGAGAAGTATAATATCTTAGCCAACCTTAATTAATTAGTTAAGCATCTTTTGGCAAGCCAATTTCATCATTGGATCCAATCCAAATCTCCTTTTATATAATCTTTTTTTTTCATTTTCATTCTTTCCTGCTTAATTGGCTAAGTCCAACAATATCGACCAGTGGGATCCCACAAGTGGGGTCTGGGGAGGGTAATATGTACGCAGACGTTACCCCTACCTTGGAGGGAAGAGAGAACCTCGGCTCGAGAAAAAGAAAAGGAACAAGTAAATAACAACAACAAGGCCAGGAAAATGATATCAATAATATAAGGACCGGAGAAAAATAAATGGAAGAAAGCAGTAGCAATAGCAATAGCAAAAGTAAAAGCCACAAGCAGTAACACAACAGTGTACTAGAAAACCGAAGCGGAAGATAGTATTAAAACAACCCTAATACTGTAATTCTAAGAATCGAAGACAATGTACTAGTCAGCTAGCACTAATAAACCCGGAACAGATCAGAAAAACACACGACGACCTATTACCCCACACCATACTGTCAAGGGCCATGTCCACGGTAAGTTGAAGTCGCGCCATGTCCTGTCTGATCACCTCTCTCCCAGTACTTCTTAGGACGCCATCTACCTCTTCTCCAACCTTCCAGTGCCAGGCGTTCAAACCTCCTCACTGGAGCATCTAGCGTTCTCCTTCTCACATGCCCGAACCATCTAAGCATCTCTTCATGCATCATATCTTCCTTAGGGTCCACACCCACTTTCTCCCTAATAACTTCATTCCTAATTTTGTCCAACCTAGTGTGCCTGCACATCCATCGCAACATTCTCATTTCGGTTAAGTTCATCTTCTGGATATGAGAGTTCTTGATTGGCCAGCATTCTACCCCATACAGCATAGCCGATCTAACAGTCGCCTTGTAGAACTGACCCTTAAATTTTGGTGGCACATTCTTGTCACACCGAACGCCAGATACTAGTCTCCATTTTATCCACCCCGCCCCTATGCGGTATGTGACATCCTCGACAATCTTCCCTTCCCCTTGGATAACTGGCCCGAGCTACTTGGAACTTACCCTCTTGGGGAAGACTTGTGAATCAAGCCTCACGTATATATCTGCTCCCCCGGACACTACGCTGAACTTGCACTTTAGGTACTCCGTCTTCATACTGCTCAACCTGAAACCCTTAGACTTTAAGGTTTGTCGCCAAACCTCCAACTTTTCGTTGACACCGCCTCACGTCTCATCAATCAGCACTTTAAAACATACACCATGGCACCTCCCCTTGAATATGACGCGTCAGTGTATCCATCGCCAAAGCAAATAAGAACGGGCTGAGCGCAGATCCTTGGTGCAACCCCATCGGAACCGAAAAATGTTATGAATATCCTCCCACTATCCTCACCCAAGTCTTAGCTCCATCATACATGTCCTTAATCACTCTAATGTACGCTACAGGAACACCTCTTGCCTCCAAGCATCTCCAAAGGACCTCCCGAGGGACCTTGCCGTACGCTTTCTCTAGGTCAATAAACACCATGTGCAAATCTTTCTTTCTATCCCTATACTGTTCCACTAACCTCCTAACAAGATGGATGGCTTCCGTA